TTACAATACTCAGACACAGAAGAAATTATTAACCTGAATATTCATTTGTTGCTCCTGTAGCTTTTCCAGGTGCTGAATCCTTTGCACCATGAAAGAATTAATTTCTTTTTCAAGCTCACTGACTCTCTGCTGGTAGTGGGGCTCCTCATGTTGAGCCTTTGTATTTTTTGGCTGTTCAGATGCTCGTTGCAGCTGCCTGTCTGTCTCCTGCAGTTTCTGAAGCAGTTCTGAAACTGAGTTCACTTTTGCTTCCAAATCATTTTGAATCTGCAAGAAATAATTAAAAAAAAGGGAAGGGGGGGGAAACCTCATTATTTTAGATGTGTGAGCATCAAAAGAACAAAACATCCTTCCCAGAATCCTGGATTTGCGTCCCAAAAGAAACAAAATTCTATTTGGCCTTAAACTTTTGGTGGTTTAGCAATATTGTGAATTTCTAAATAAAACAGATAAATTAAGTGGTCTCTGTCTTCTGCCCATTTAGTTGAAACCAAATTAGTTCCCTCTGGTATATTGGTCAGCAAGTGTGAGGTGACAAACACACAAAGCAGTGAGCAGACACATTCAGGCTCTCTGGAGCTACAATGAACAATTTCAGAATTGTTTGGAACATTTAGTATTTTAACAAGACAAAGAACTGCTGCTCCCACTGACCTTGAGGAGTGGAGCTGTGCTGGCAATGGCAGCAGCAGTGGCTGCTGCAATGGTTGTTGCAGACTCCACTTCCCTGGCTGCTGGCCTGGTGTCACTGCCAGCACCTTCCCTTTTCTCTGTGGGGGCACTTCCCAAGAGCTGCACCTTCACCTCCTTATGAACAGGAATAACCTGAGTTCTAGAAAAATAAAGATGTGCCTGTAAACAGCATTTTCTTCGTATCTCCTCCAAGCAAGTATTTCCCACACACAGCATTGATATCACTGTATAAGCATTTCTCCTGGGAGTTTTGGCACAAGATACTCCAGGGAATAAAATACTGAAAACACTTTCATACACAGAAAACTGACAGAGAACTGTAAATTCATTTTGGCAAAAAGCTGAAGGGGTGTAGTTGTACAGAAACAGAACAGCTCAGACACCAACAACAATTCACACTCACTTTTGCATTAATGCTGCTCTCAGAGCCTCCTTCTGGCCAGCAGCATACTGGGAAATAAAAACATCATCTGTGGGGAAGGACAAACATCCTTTGTTGAGATAATTGACACAAAATGTCTATTTCATAGGAAGAGACAAAATATTATTTCAATACATTTAATTTTGCTGTGGAGAATCTGTTGCCTGCAGGAACCACATCATCTACTGCAACAACAAATTGTTTCCTTTCAGTCAGCAGAAAATTTAAATAATGGTAAGAGTAAGAGCAGGCTTCATTTAACACAATTTTCATAGCATTGAATGCTGCTATCAATAAAGTCCAATAATGGTGAGTAAACCCTCAGTGGTAACTACAGCTCAGACAACCCAGTCAATAAAATGCTGCAAATTCTGACTTGAAAACAATTTAACTAAGAAAACCCCAGAAAGAATATTTCCCTACCACCATCATAAATTACAACAAATTTTCTTAATAGGTACAACTCATGCTAAAAGCATAGCAGGCTCTCCCTCACCCACTGTTTGCTGGGCAGAGGAAGCAAATGTTGGTAAGTCAGGCAGCTGCAGCCTGTGAGTGCAAAAGTTCTTATTTTTGGTCTTAACTAGGGTAATGATTTGTATTTTTTCTCCTTTACACAGCTCTAGATATCCAAGAAACCTGCATAAGAGTGTTTTCTTTAAAAAGCCTTCACTTCCCTAAGTCTGACTGAAATTGGCAGATTCAGCAATTAAAGGAAAAGACACTGACATTGTGATTTCTAGGATTCTTAAGGATTACAAATACACTTTTTTGGTACAGGTTGCTTGAAGAAAAATACACCTTTGTAGTACAATAATTCACAAGAGGAAAGTTGATCAAAACAAGCCCCTTCCCCAAACTGTCTATTCAGAAACATGAAGATTTGGTTAACAAAAGGAATCTCAACTCTGGCACACTGGCAGAAGTCCCACTCAGTTAATTAAAAAAATTAATGCCAGCAAGAATCAGATAAAATTTGCAAAATTAAAGAATGTTTGTTACAATCATCATCTTTTTATCAAAGCAACCTTTGAATATTTTCATTCAGAAGTTTCTATAATGAAAAAAAACCAAAAACTAAAAGCTCCCTTTTCCTTTAATTAATCAATCTCCTTACAAAAAAAAGGTGATTGGTGTGTTTTACCTTCAGGTCCTCTGCTATTTTCCAGAAGCACCAAAGGACCATTTTGTGCTGGAGCTTCTTTAGGAAGATCCTTCAGAACAAGAGCAGAAAAAGCTGAGATCAAAGCTTCTGTAACCAAAATTTTAGAGGGAGAGGGAATTGCTGAGCACACAAATGGAACCATTTGCACACAGCAGCACAAAGGTCTTGGCACAAAACATGACAAGACTTCTGCCACAGAAGGGTCTGGACATTGCTGGCAAGAACTCCCATGGCATTTTAGGGACTAAAACTCCACAAACACAAATAAAATCAAAACCATGTATTCTACATGCTAAATAAGTTTATTTTCCTCATTTATGGCTAAAGAAGCAGTAGTGAAACTGTACCTGCTGAAATTTAGAGAAGTTGCTAAACTTGGACAGGTTAGGATTGCTCACACACAGAGAATGAAGCACACAGAAAATTCAGTGTTAAATAAAGGCCTTCCAAAAGCACCAGCAACAACACCACAGCAGCATCTCAAAGAGAAAAAGCAGCTGCACAGCTGTGGTGCAGAGGCTGAGCCAAAATCTTGTGCTGCTTTTAGAGGAGCTACAGCTTTTTGAAGAAAGCAGTGTTCTCTTAGCTTAGGATTGCAGGAAGGAGCAGCAGCTTTTCTTACCTTTTGGGATAAAAACATGGGCTCAGAATTTTCAACTGGAAGCAGGTGTTCTGGATATGCTTTGGTGCTTAGGACTCCTAAAATAAAACCAGTTTTACTGTGGTCAGAATCACTTGTGGTGCATTTTCTGTACAGCTCCACATTTCCCTTATCTCTGAATGCCTAAACATCACAACCCTCATAACACAAATGAGCACAGAGATTGAGCTGAAGCTTAAAAACATCAAATGAATTCTGTGAGTCTGAATGAGAAATTCAATTAACAGCATGGGGAAACCTCTGAAAAACAGAACATTATAAAACAACTGATGCCCTGTGAAGGCTGACCTAGAACAGAGGCTGGATAGAGTTAAAGAATAAAGCAGGAATTTATTAAGAGGCCTCAAATAGATCCACCTTGGGCAGCACAAGAGCCCAGCCAGGGCTGCACCCCAGGTGAACCCAAAAAGGCCACAAAAATGGATCACAGGTCATGGGGTCTCTCACTTTTATAGTTCTGCTCCATTTGCACCTTGCAGTTCATTGTCCCATTCCAGCTTTAGCCCAGGCAGTCCCACCCTGCTTGTTTTTCTCTCTCCAGCCCACGGTGTTTGTGCTCTTGGGGCTGAGATTTGGATCATTTGTCCTTGGTGCCCAGCTGGAGCAGGAATTGTTTTGTCTCCCTGCTCTGTGCACAGAGCTCACCAGCCCCTCATATGAAACCTAGAACTACACACTAAAGCAGAATAGAATCTGAAAAATAGAAAAGCTAAAGCCTGAGACATCACATCCTTTAAACAGGGATGTTTAACAGTGATTAATCATCCCTGCCCCCATGGAGAGAGACACCTTCCACTGCCCCAGGCTGCTCCAGCTCCATCCAAGCTGGCCTGGAACACTTCCAGGGATCCAGGGGCAGCCACAGCTCCTGTGGGCACCTGTGCCAGGGCCCCCGTGCCCTCATGTGCAGAACAGCTCGGGAAAACAAACCCTGCTGCCAGCTGAGAATGCAGAGATCCCTCAATTACAGAACTTCTCCGTGGCTGCACTCGCTTCTCAACTCTGTGCTGAATCCGCCGCTTCCGGACGCACCTGAGGCGGCTCCGGGGGAGTCGCGGGTGGCGTCGGTGCCGCTCGGGGCCCGGGGAACGCGGGGAGCTCCGTCCGCAGCCGGCTCCGCGGGGCAGGGCGAGCCCCCGGCCCGGAGCTTCTGCACGGCCACCGGCCCCGGCCCCTTCCTGCGGGCCGCCGTGGAGCGCACCAGCACCTCGGCCGCCGTCAGGCTGCCCAGCGAGTCCCGGCTGCCGCCCGAGCCGCTCTCCGCCTCCATGGGGCCGGGAACGGGAACGGAGCCGGGACAGCGGGAAGGGCCCCGGGGCTCCGCTTCCCTCCCGCGGCTGCCGACCCTGAGAGAGCACCGCTCGCTCCCGCTGTGCCGGCCCTAATCCCGGCTCCGATCTCGCTGTCCCGGTCCCGATCCCGCTATCCCGGCCCCGTTCTCACTGTCCTGGTCTCGTTGCCGCTCCCGTTCCCTGGTCTCGTCCCGGTCCCGTTCCTGGTATCCCGGCTCCGATCCCGCTGTCCCAGCACCGATCCCACTAACCTGGCCCCGATCTCGCTATCCCGGGTTCCGTTCCCGCTGTCCCGGCCCTGATCTCCTATCCCAGCCCCGTTCCCCCTATCCTAGCCCTGATCTCGCTGTCCCGGCCCCGTTCCCCCTATCCCAGCCCTGATCCCGCTGTCCCGGCCCCCTTCCCGCTGTCCCGGCTCCGTTACCCCTATCCTAGCCCTGATCTCGCTGCCCCGTCCCCGTTTCCGCTATCTCGGCCCCGATCCCGCTGTCCTAGCCCAGTTCCCGCTATCCCGGCCCCGTTCCGCTATCTCGGCCCCGATCCCGCTGTCCTAGCCCTGTTCCCGCTGTCCCGGCCCGGCCGGCGGCACCGGAAGCGCGCGGTGCCATGGCCACGGCGTCCCCTTACCCGGCGTCCGGCGGGAAACGCGCGGGGTCCTCCCCTCAACGGCGTCCGGCGGGAAACGCGCGGGCCCGGGAGGGTAAATCGAGCGGCGGCTCCGCGCGCGGCCGATTCGCCCGGTTCTGTGGCGAATCTGCGGGGCCCGGCCCGGAACGGGCCCTCCCTCGTGCGCGCGCGCGCGTGGCGAATCTGCGGGGCCGGCGCGGGGGCGGTGAGTGCGCGCGGGCGCGGAGCGCGTGAGGGAACGGGCGCGGGAACGGGCGCGCGCTCCTGAGGGACCGGGAGTGTCCCTGAGGGACCCGGGGGGACCGGGAGGAACCAGGAGTGGTCCCGTGCCCGGGAGAACCTGGGAGACACCGGGAGCCTCCCCATGAGGGCCCGGGAGAGCCCTTGAACCTCTCCGTGAGGACCCTGGAGAGCCCGGGAGACACCGGGACCTTCCCCGTGAGGGCCCGGGAGACACCGGGAGCCTCCCTGTGAGGGTCCAGGAGCCTCCCCCTGAAGGGCCTGGGAGACACCGGGAGTCTCCCCGTGGCCCATGAAGGTCCGGGAGCGCCACCGAGGCCCCTCAGTGGGGAAATGCCCGCTCTGTGCCCGGTGTTGGGCCGGGGCTTGGCTGAGCGGGTGATTCCCGAGGGATAGGAACTCAATGTGACCTTGGAAGGGAGAGCTGGAGGATGGAGTAGAAGGAAAAGAGCAAAAATAAATAAAGCTCGAGCTGTTAGCCCCAGGTTTTGGTTTTATCAAGCGTCAGCCAGGTGTGATCTCACTTAAATAGGAGAGTGCTGGGGGGAAATGTGTATTTTTCCCCAGGCCTGATGCCCATACACGTGTTTGGTGTGCTCAGAGAGGTTCTCCTGGTGCCTCAGGCTGACGCCGGTCACTCACCTTTGGTGTTGGATTTCCACCTCTGATCCCTCCTCCTTCAGAGCAGGGCCCAGGCCAAATGCAGGAGGCAGTGAGTGATAACAAGCCGAGCACCAGCTACACCTGGTTATCCAGCTCCTGGCCCCTCATCTCACCCTGTCCTCACTTCATTAAATGCCTCTGGCTTCTGAAAATTCATTTGTTTGGGCTTCTTTTAAATCTGATGGCAGTCCAGTTGTAGCCTAGTAATCCCCCATGATAAAATAACTTTGTCTACAAGCTGTGGGGAGTTTACCTTGACACAATTCTTTGACTCGAGATTTTTATTCTTTGACACATTTCTTTGACTTGATGCTTTTACCCTTCGTTTTCCTTTTCAGAAACACTTTCATGGTGCTCTGTGTGCAGCTGGAAGCAAAGGCTTAAAGAGATATTTCAGCTTTCTTTTTATGGAGTAGGTGATAGTTATAGCTGATTTAGATGGTTAGTGGGATTTACAAGTGTGAGGGATTTATAGTGTCTGTCCATCACTCTTCTTCCCAGAAAAATGTTCTTGAAAAGATGAGGAAAACTCCCAAACACAGGGCTTGTTTATTTTGATCAGAGGGACTTGTGAAACTTCTGTATTTGGAAGAGCCCCAGGGCTTTTCAAGAAGGGAGGTTTCCCAGTTTTTGCTCCTTTCTGGTGACCCAGCACACCCAGGCTGTGTCCCTTGCAGCAGAGGTTTATTCTGCTTCCTGCAGTGTGAATGTCCTTGCTGAGAGGGGCGGTGCTGAATTTTAAATCGTGTTTAGCCCACGGGATTAAACCTGAGCCTGCCGGAGCCTGGTGGCTGGGCTGGGCTGGCTGAGGTGCTGAGCACTCTTTCATCACCCTTTAAAAGCTTTTTGCAGAGTTGGAGGGAAAGGGGAGAAGCAGCAGGAAATCTTGAGGGAATACATTTGGCATACTTTGGAACAAAGCAGGTTTGCGCATTCCTGGCAATGTTCAGTAGCTGCTTTTTAGATGTAAGGCTGATTTATGGCTGAAGGTGCAGCAGAGCTGTGTAATTCCCCTGTGGAATGTGTGAAATGCCTGTACAGGGACAAGAGCTTCAGGCGCTTCAGATCAGGCTGTGCTGATGTGAATCAGAGCCTTTCCCAGGTGCCAGAGCTCTGTGAAACTCCAGTCTCAATCTGCCACTTCCAATCTTGCCAGATCACAGGAGGACAGGGATCAGGTTTGCCATAAACACGGATCATGAGGCAACCTGAGTGTGGGAAAGTGGCGCTGTCAGGTGAAACTTTGAGCTTCCTGCCTTGGCCAGGGAACAGAAGTGCTCCCTGCAGTTTCTGTTGAATTATCCACATACCTGCCCTGGAGAATTGTCACTGCTCTTGTTTGCTCACAGGCTGAGAGAGGAGAGAGGAGTTGCCATCACTTCCCACTGGTTACTCCAGTGATGGGCAGGTCCATTCTCCTGAAATAAGTGAGGGGTTTAGGGGAGAGGACAGAGGCTGGAAAGGGATTTTGGATAAGGGCAAGGGGTGACAGGACAAGGGGTGGTGGCTCTGCACTGCCACAGGGCAGGGTTAGATACCAAAGTCCTTGACTGAGCATGGTGAGGCCCTGGCACAGGGTGCCCAGAGATGCTGTGGGTCCCATCCTTGGAAGTGTTCCAGGACTGGAGGGGGCTTGGAGCAGCCTGGGATGGTGGAAGGTGTCCCTGCCATGGCAGCAGGGTGGAAGGAGATGATCTTGAGGGTCCTTTCCATCCCAAACCAGTTTGTGATTCAGTGACCACCTGAACAGAACCTGGCTCCTTGTTACCACCATATCCTGCAGGTTCTCCTTTGAATGCCCTGTGTGAGCTGCCTGCCCATGAGGAGTTCTTGCATCTGACATCCCAGATGCAACTATCTGTGCCCTTTACAATTTACAATTAATCTTCTGTTATGCTTTGCCAATTTTTGAGCAAGACATTCATGTTTTAGAGGGCTTTAGCTGTTACAGTCCCTGTGCAGGGATCCAGTGTGGTGTCAGTGGCAGATGTCACCATCCCTGTGCTGCTGGCAGGGGCTGTAGGAACACTCCACTCTGTAGGGACACTCCACTCTGTAGGGACACTCCACTCTTGTGAGAGCTCCCTGATGCTGTTTTCAGTTGCTTCATTTTCTTTCTGTTGTAGAAATAATTGTTGCTGTTTCTCTGTTGATGTTCAGGCAGTTGTGTACCCCTTCCCTTCCCCCTGCTGGGAGACTGCAGTAGCTAAAGCTCTCTAAAACATCAATGTCTTGCCCAAAAATTGGCAAAGCATAATAGAACATTAATTGTAAATAGCCCTTGCTAAAGGACTAAAAGAACTTTTTTTTTTTTTTCCCAAGTGATTGCACTGCAGTGCTCATTTTTCTTCCCCAAGTTGAATTAAACTAAGGAGCTTGTTCTTGCTGACATATGATATTAGTTTGCATTATCATTGTGATAACAGGTCCTAGATAACATGGAAATGAAGGGAAAAAGAGACAAGGCTTCAGTCTTCTAGGAAACCTGCAGGGATGCTTTCAAGCCTTAACTTGTTCACTGTGTTGGATTAGGAATGTCTTACTTGAAGATGCTTGTTTAAATTCTTAGATCCATGGCTGTTAACCTCATCCCTTTTTCTTTGTCTATTTCATTCCATTTTCATTGTTCTCTGTTTTTTCTTGCATTTAATTCACTACAATAACCACAACATTTGCTGTAGTTCAGGTGTTTGGTGCAGCTGCACAGAAACCAGGCCTGCACCTTGTGCTGCATCTGTTCAGTGACTGCCAGTTTATATTTGCCTTTTTTCCTTTTACAGATCACATCTAAAGTCACTGAAACTCCAAGGCTGGAAAGTGTTTGACTTTCCCTCTTCCCCAGCTCCTGCCCTAGCTTATTTAGTAAATCTGACAGCACTTATAAAAATAAATAAGGCATTCTGTAAGTCACTTCAGCTGTATGAAACACCCAAAAAGTCTTTAAAGGACAACAGTTAGCAGTGGCTCTGCTAAGGTTTCATACCTGGAATTATCTTGGATGGTTTTTTTACTGAATACATTCCTAACAGGTAACTTCCCTTTGAGTGAATGGCTTGGGAGTTTGCTAGCAAAGTTGCATTTAAATGCACTTCAAGGATGCACAAAAGTCCATTCTGATGTAAAATGCTCCAGTTCATATTTATGTTTTTTATTTAGAACTCGACTTTTATCCTCACCTTTAGGTGACTGAGCCACAGGAGGTGGAACATGGCTGGACAAATATCAGAGGCTGATCAGATCAAGCAGGTGAGATGCTGCATTTGGGAGGGGGGGCTTTGAAAGTCTTGTGCTGCTCTGTCACAGGGAGTGGAAGGTGTAGTGCATAGGGAAGGACAGAAACTCTGAGTTATCTGAGTTAACCAAAATTTCAGCAGGTGACCATTGACAAACAGCATGTGTTGTGTATGAGCAGCTTTTGGTGCTGAAATCCTCTGCCTGAGAGTAAATTTTTCTAGGCACTTGCCCTTCAGATTTTCTTATATCATGCAGCTGTATGTAAGAAAAAGAAAAATTGATTTTTAAGGGTTTTTTTTTTAAATATTCATTGTCCAATTTTTATTTACAGTTCAAGGAGTTTCTTGGCACATACAATAAACTTACAGAAAATTGCTTTGTGGATTGCATAAAGGATTTCACTAGCAGAGATGTGAAACCAGAAGAGGTAGGTGATGGCTTCTGATGGTCCTTTGGTAGGATTGCTGTGCACCATTCCAATTTCAGAAACAACTCAGAGAGTTTTGATCTTTAAACCAAGGTACAAAGCCAGGCAGTGGAGTTTGGGTGTCCCATCCCAGACCAGCTTGGACAGGGCTTGGAGCAGCCAGGGACAGTGCAATGTGTCCCTGCCCATGGCAGGGGGTGGAGCTGATGCTCTTTAGGGTTCCTTCACCAAAACCATTCTAGAAGTGGTTGTGACACACAGAATCTGCCCAGTCCCCACTGACTATTGGCTGCTCACTGCAATTCCATGTGTTTCATTCCCTGAGCTGTCAGTGGAGGTTCCTGTGCTGTAACTGCTCATGGAGGTGACTCCATGGACAGGAAGCTGCCCACCTACAGCCTGCATCTCACCCTTTGAGGAATCCTGCTGAAATATTTGTTTACCTGCCCACGTTCCTGCCTTGTAGTGAGTCATGGGAACACAGCTCTGCTGTTCAATCCCCTTCCCTGCACTGCAGGGAGCTCCCTCACGCTGCCATCTGCACAAAGATTAAGCTCTCCATAAGATTACTGGCATGGTTTTGCTTCTCCTTGCCTGTTGAGAGGCTGTTTCAGAGCCTAATCATTTTGTTGGTTAAAAATCTAATAACTTTTGCTTGACTCTGCTGGCAGGAAAAAAAAAAGTCTAATATTTTAAACTAAACATTTTTTGGAGCCTTTTCTGCTTCCTTGGAGTACAATTCCTCACTCCAGGCAAAACTCATGTGTCCTTCCAGCTTTGGTGCTGCTGCCCTGAACAGAGCTCTCTTAGCTTCCCAAGACAGATTCCTTCTTTCCCTAATCTTCTCTGAATCTGCTTTAGTGGAATTCTATTACAGGTCATAATTATTTTGGGTTAAAGATTACTTAGGTCCAAAAACTATTCTTAGATTCTTGGAGCAGCCTGGACCAGTGGGAGGTGTCCCTGCCATGGCAGGGGGTTGGAATGAGGTGATAAATTTAAGGTCCATCCCAATCCAAACCATTTTCTGATTGTGAGCTGCCTATTTTTGCTTCTGTGGATTGCAGAGGTTCATGTCTGGTGGCACAGGAACCATCTGTTAACAAAGGAACTAGGAAAAATCTTTCTTATGGGAAATTCTGCCAGATTGTCCACTGTGGGATTTCCTGCAGAGCACCTGTCTGGAAGCAGGACACTTGTCTAGATGGACACTGCTGTGGAAATTCCCATGTTTCTCTTGAAAGTTGTAGTTCCTTATTAAATAATTGAGATTAATACCTCCACAGATCTCCTTTGGGGTCCTGCACTTGAAAAAACCCAACTTCTGAGCTCTTTCCTCCCGCAGGTGCCAGTGCAAGTCTGGACTCACACACACAGGCCTGGGGCAGCTCCAGTTGTTGTTTCCTAGGGAGACTCCACTCCTGCTCAGCAGGTTTGGCTGGAGCTGCTGCCAGGCTGAGGGGCTGGGTGCTGTGTGGAGCTTGCTGGGGTTTTGGCCACTTCATTTCACCCTTCTGCTTTTCACATCCCTCTGCACTGAGCAGAACCAAAGCAATGTCTGCTGTGTTCCCAGGCAAAGGGGTCACCTTTCCTTTCCACCCAAATCTGTTACCTGTGAGCCATGGCACAGAATATCCAATTAGAAGGACTGTAGCCCAGAAATAATCTCACAACTCTTTCTCTACACTCAAAGAAAGAAACCACTTTAAATTTGAAAAATACTGTGGATAGAATAGGCTCTGGTATTTATTTCCCAGTCCAGCTGACTGATGTACTCTGGTGGCAAGGCAGGTACCAGAGCCAATGGGAACAAGGGTAAAATGGGTTAAACTGAGTTAGCAAAGAGCAGATCATGTTTGGCTGTCACAGCCAGTATGTGTTTGTAAACAGAATTAAAATTTACTAATGTAATAGATTTATTATTAATTTCAAAATATGTAGTTCAATTCCACAAGAGGAGCCCAAGGACAAAAGGATGGTATCTCCTGAGTCCAGGGTGTTTTCCATGGAGACTTTAATATGAGAATGAATATTAGTAAATGTTTCAGGCATAGCAGAAAAACTCAACTTTACATTTTCTACTGCCCTCATCCTGACAGTGTGAGATGTACTCACCCAACTGTTTATCCCTGTCTGTGCTGGTATTTTGGGTCCTGGTTGGGGATGTGTTTGACTGTCTGAAGCCCTGTGTTCCCTCTTGCTGCAGATAACTTGCTCAGAAAACTGCCTGCAGAAGTATCTGAAGATGACACAGAGGATCTCCATGAGATTCCAGGAGTACCACATCCAGCAGAACGAGGCTCTGGCAGCCAAGGCAGGACTGCTCAGCCAACCTCGCTAGAGCAGAGCTCTGTGCTCAGACCTAAGCTGTGCCAAGAACACACTGGGGGCTTCCTGCTGTCAGGATGTGTGTCCAGCAGCTCAGAGCAGAGCTGTGGGTGCTGCTCAGGCAGTGGGAGCAGAAGGGTTAAACAGGAGCTCAGTCCTGGTGGCCTGGCAGTGGAGTTTGTTTCCACAAGGGAATGATGCACATACAACTTCTCCCAGGGCCCACAGACTGTGTCTGAATTTCAGGGGTGGTGGGAGGGCTCACCTGCCTTTTGCTGAGACTGGTTGAGATGAATCAATGTAACTTGGGGAATACTTTTTTATTTAATTCAAATAAAATCAGCTGGAGCCATATCCACCTGTGTGTTCTTTCCCCAGAGCCATTTCTGGGACATCTGAAAGCAGCATTTTGTTTGCTGGGGGCTCTTTGCTCAGCTGCTCCAGAGTTCTGTCCATTCACTGCTGCTGTAGGAGCTGACAGAGGCCAGAGGGAGCTCAGGCAGGGGTGCCCCAGGTTCTCTTTGGGTCACTGACAGGGGACAGGGGGACATGAGCAGCACTTGTGCCTGGGGCAGCTCCTGTGCACCCCTTGATTCCCTCAGGGAGCCCCACAGGGTCCTGCCAGCCCGGCCTCCTGGCCTGACACACTCCAGGCACTGAGCTTGCTGCAGTTTGCACACAATTCACAGAATCACTGGGTTGATTAAAGATCATCAAATCCAACCCATGCCCCAACACCTCAACTAAACCCTGGCACCCAGTGCCACATCCAGGCTTTGTTAAACACCTCCTTTCTCCTGTGAATGCCAGCAGGAAATCCAGGCTCTGCACAGCACAGGGTCTGTCCTGCTGTTGCAGGAGCCCACAGAGAGGTTTGGAAGGCAGCTGGACTGGGTTACAAACACAGCAGTGCTTTGGGAGGATCCTGACAGCTGCAATGCTGCAGTCAGGGCAATGGTGCAGTGGAATGACAGCAGGCACCTTGTGCTTCAGGTCTCATAAAATCCAGGGACAACGGGGACTGAACATCAGGAGCAGCAATTTTGAGACTCCAGGTGATGAGGAGTGAACCAAAGCTATTCCATGTCAGCTGCCAGGTTCTGTTATTGATAGAGGCAACAACAAGGAACAGAAAGAGCAGGAGGAGTTTTTTGTTGTTACCTTCTCTACCTTTCTATCTCCAGCAGAGCTTGAGTAACTCAGCTGTGGATTCCTGGCCCCTGAGGGCAGCACAGTGCCCTGCCACCTGCAGCAGCCACTGCTCTGTGCGCTGCAGCTCTGCCTGGAGCCCTGCTCCTGGGCTTGCCAAGGTGCAAGGAGCCAGTGGAGCCTCCAGCCCCACATCCCTGTGTTTGTACCCCTGCTCCTGGGCTTGCCAAGGTGCAAGGAGCCAGTGGAGCCTCCAGCCCCACATCCCTGTGTTTGTACCCCTGCTCCTGGGCTTGCCAAGGTGCAAGGAGCCAGTGGAGCCTCCAGCCCCACATCCCTGTGTTTGTACCACAGCCCCTTCCTCCTGTGCCTCATTACGCTGGAGATGGATGAGAGCTCACTGAAACAGTGAAGGCTGAAAACCAGCCCAAATAAGGCAGCAAGGCTGCATTGTCCTGTTTTTTCAAAGGAAGAACAAGCTAAAACTGTCCAGATTATTTGCTACAATCAGGTCACAAATGCTGCAGCTAAATTGAATCAATACATGTATAGTAAAGGCTTTCAAGGCTTTCCTTTGAATAGCTCTTTTTCTGTTAAACGTTTGAAAGTAATCCATGATTGAGATTTTCCACTGGATCTTCATGTGCAAAAAGGTGCTCAGAAAAGTGCCTGAAGAGTTTAACTGAGGGAAGTGGAGGATTTTCATGTCTTCTGAACAAAGCACCTTGGGGCTGAAGTGAAGTGAGTTAAAAAAATAATGGTTTTCTCTCAGTTCAGTATTTGGAGCTAGGAAAATATTTAAATATTAGGACAGATTTCTTTTAAAAAAGGTAAAGCAAGTTTTAGAGGGACTTAGTTAACAAATTACCCACTTTCAGGTTTGGATAATCAATTTTGTCAAAGCTCTTTCTCTACAAAAATCTTGTGGTCTTTCACATCCAGGTGGCAGGTTGCATACAGACAATACAAATATATTTGAGCTTGGAAATAAAATGCATCCATGTAACTAAAGCATCCAGGTGATACAAATAAATAATATAAAATAGGATAAAAATGGTTTTACTCTGGATCCTTACAAAGACAACAGCATTTTCTTAAATGCCATTAAGGGGTGTGAGGAGAAGGTGAATCACCTTGCTGAGGCACAGTAGTGCAGGAAGGGATCCCACTCTGATGGGAGAAGGAGCAAAGGGTGAAGAATGGGAAGCTGCTGAGGGAGGAGTACTGAGAAAGCTGTGGGAAAAGTGAGCCAAAGTGGAGGTGGGAGGGGAGGGCAGCCTGCCAAAAGCAGCTCAAGGAAACTGAGCTGGTAAACAGACACTCATTATGGGGAGATGCTCACTGCAGCAGCAGTGAGGGAACACAGATCCTTCCTGCTGCACACACACACACACAGCTCCTCCTGAGCCCACAGAAACCAGAACCTGTTCAGCAGCAAGGGTCAGATGAGAGCCTTGCTCCAGAGTGGCCTGGACAGCACAGTGCTGGCACTGCCACCAGATCAATCAGCTGGAAGATTATAATGGAGGCTCCTTGAATTCTCTCCAGGATAAAAGCAAAGCTCCAATTTATGTAATCCCCTGCTGAGAGCTTCAACTGCTGAGCTCTGTTGGAAGGCAAGAAAAGGAGTGACTGCAGAGCTGTCAGCAGTGTGGGTGAACACTGAGTGTGGCTGTGGCTGCAGAGCAGGGAGGCAAATCCTGTGTGCTCTGGCATTCCCCACTCTGGGAACTGGAGCTTAGCAACAGCTCCTGCTTCAGCATCTTCTCTCAGCTGGGTGGGAAGTCAGCACATGGCATCTGAGGAATCCAGTTCAAACCTTAGGAAGCCCATTAAGCTCAGCTCCAAAATTCCTTGAATGAGTCTGGCCCAAACTCTAAAACATGTAAAAGCAATTAAAGCCTCTGACACCTAAACCTTGGATTTCCAGAGGACAGCATTAAAAGAACTCCAAAAGTTACAATTCTGCCTCATATTGGAGGGTTTTAAAAATGATGTTTTACCTTAACTTCACACTCCTTTGTGTTTTGGTGTCAGGGAGCAGCAGGTTCTTCACAATAAACGTCAGGTACAATGCATGTGTTACAACATTTTACAGCAACAAATGGAATTGAATCAGGGGAAGTACATTAGTGACTTTCTGCAGATTAAAGTGTTGTTGGATTTCTGACTATATTGCACCAAAAGGCACTTGAAGGATGGATCCTGGGGCACCAGGAGAGGGGCAGTGTCACCCTTGGAGCACACAGAGACTGCTGGGGCACAAGCAGATACTCCTGGGGGGGATGGAAGTAGATGATCTGTGAGAGTCCTTTCCAATCCAAACTGGTTTTTATTCTCCAGAGACATAAGAAAATGTCTTATGGAAGGTCTGGAAGAAGAGACAACACATTTCACTGCAGGGGATGCAGGGAGCAGTGGCATCCCTGGGCACTGGGACAGCCCAACAGGAAAGGTTTTATAAAAAAAACAGCTCTGGGCTGAATGTAACATGAGCTGATCATTCAGAGGCACAGAGAGGTGTTACCCTGCATGGGGATGCTGCCCAGGGCCTCTGAGCCACAGCGAAATCACATTCCCATCAATTGTTCAGGGCTCTCCAAAGGAAAAGCAGGAAACAAGAACAGCAGCAGCCAAACCTCAGCCACAGAGATCAGCTCCTTCCTGCACTGCCTGTGGATAACATCATTCCATAATTATTCCCACAGCATTATGTGGGGCTGCTCTCACATTCTGAGTTAATCACATTCAAATACCTGCACAGACCAATATAAAATTTTACCTCTCACTGGTTCCAGTGCCAAAACATTTCCTCATCAGAGAGGGATTGTCCTGCCCACCTGAGGGAGCCACTGCCCCTGTCCATGCCCCTGGGATGGCACACAGGGGTCACCTGCAGAGTGGGAAGCAGAGCATGTGCAGAAGGAATCAAGGGCTGGGACTTTCCTTTTTTTTTCCTTTTAAAATAGCTTTATTTATTCATAAGGGAAATAAAGGAGCATCAAAAGATATGGTTTTAAGTTCCACATAAACAAGTTCCTTGTTAAAGCAGAAAGAAAACACACTCTTGTGCAATATAGCAAAGTATTTAATACAAATTCCACATCTTACCCCTCCTTATGAAACTGGCATAGCTGGCAGCAGCAGGGTAAATTAGGTCAGGCTGTACCCAGATGAGGGATTAGAGGAGGAGTTTAGGAACAGCTGAAGACACCAACAGTGCTGGAATGGAAACGTTGTTGGGTTACTCTGAACAGCAGGAAAGTGAGAAATGACCAAAGCCCAGCACCAAGGCAGGGCAGTGTCCCCCAGCAGCAGCTCAGGGTTAAACACAGTGACAACCCCTGCAGGCTGGCACAGCTCCAGCACAGCTTTCCTTGGCTGGCAAACACTGCCAGAGGGAAAGTGAAGCAAAGCTTCCGTGGTTAGTGCAGTGAGTGAGCTGTGCTGGGGCACTGAGGCCAAGGGGCATCAAACAAAGCCAATTCTCATCTCTGGAAACTCTTGGTGAGGGATGAGCAGCAGCACAAGGGTGTGAACCAATGTTAACCAATGCAAACAGCTGCAGAGCTGAAGCAGAACCAACCTGCTCTGAGCCAGAATTCAGAATCCAGCCAGAATCCCACTGCAGAATCTCTGCAATGGGAAGGAGCAAGAATAACACCATAAATAGCAAAGATAATTCAAAATCAAGAAGACACCAGACAAGTCCTATTCTTAGAAAAACTGCTTTCTCAATCAACAGTTTGATCCTTCCAGTTTTCTTTAAATGGCAGTATGGTGAGCATTTGTCATTGAGCTGTGGCTAATCATAAAATCCACCACTCACTGGCATTAAAACAAACACACCATCAGGCCAAAAACACTGGAATACAAAAAGTAAATTTACATATCCATCCAAAGCAATGGATGGGACCAATAAATAAATACTTCAATAAATAAATACTTGTGGAATCTGAGAAACTCACAGATATTCAGAGCAAACATAAGACCCCCAATAAATCCCAGCTCCTCAGGGGTAACTGATAAAGGTGAATAATTTTAAACACTGAGACCTCTTAAAATCCCATCCTGTTTGGTGTGAGGTAATATGGGAGAATGACAGACTCTCAAAATCTGAGAGCAATAGCTTAATAGTATGAGCTAATTACAAAATGTCATTTTCCTTAGCCCTGGAATTACAGTGAGTCAGCCTCTGGCAATATCCCCTTTGGTTCCACTGTTTTATTATGGCCCCCACATCTCCAGAGCCTCACATTGTAGCAAATAATAAAATCCCAAGACCAGAGAAGGAAAATAACCAAGATTTCAGAGCATCATTTTTGCAAAGGGCAGTGAAGTTTTTTTGCAGTGAAGTAAACAGCTCAA